TTATAGCCTTGTGGTTTGTGATTGGCCTCATGATTCGTCCATCGTATGGGACGCATCCGTGCAGCTGGGAGCGGCTGGGAAGACACAAAGACTCCCACACAACATTCAGAGAGTCAGTGCAGCATGATTTGTGAGCGAGTGACCATCACCCCATGGGTTCATACGATACATTTCATAATAATTCACTGTTTTTTGTGCTTGCAACTGCTAAATAAGCCACCATGTGCCCAAAGAAAGCTCATAGTGCCAGCCCTTTGATAAAGAAGGAAAGAAACACGATAGAATTCAAGAAAAAACATGTAGCAAAGTATCAAAGTGGAGGGGGAAGAGAGAGGGGAGAATGTGCCTTTTTCAGTGATTCTACGATATGTACAATACTAAAGCAGCAGGTATTGATAAAGGCTATAGCACCAGCCAGCGATAAAGTGTAGCATTAACAGTGTAGCAAGTAAGTTAAGCGATTAAGTGATAGAAAAACAACACACCACCCTGCTATCTTCCACCACACTAAACCTCTGCCAGTATCTCCTCCATCAAACTAACCAGTTAAACTAACATATCCTCCAAGGTAAGTGTAAATATTTCTTATTTATAACGTGTAAATATTTCTTATTTATAAATTACTTACATTGTGTGAATAGTGATGGTGGCTTCTGCTGCAGCCTCCACCACCACTAATATGTACAGCTTCTCTCAGTGGCCCTCATAAACCCAACAACACCACCACCACCATCACCACTCATGACATATGGAATGACATATTTTATTAATTCTAGAGTAGTATATATCATGTTTCTACGTTACTAATATTGTTTATTATGTCATATTAGATGAATTGTGATAGATAATTAAGCCATAGAGATAATATTAGTGTCATATTGAAGTATAATAAACTCGCCTCCCTCTCACCTCCTGTCTGCCATACACCGACAAGAGTCTTCAGTAAAGGTAAGTCTGATGTTAAATGTTCATTTATCCATTATTAGTGCTTTATATTTATTTGTCATTGTTTTCTTTATATAAATCTATATTTAATCTTTGAAAAAAAATTTCTTTTGCTTATACTTTTGGGTGTCTGAAACGATTAATCAGATTTCCATTTTTTCTTATGGGGAAAATGGTTCCGCCGTTCGTGAATTTCGCCATTCAGCAGACACTCTGGAAAGGATTAATCATGAAACTTGGGGGCCCACTGTATTCTTAAATTTTTAGCTGTCTTATCCCCACCCAAATAATGAATATGCCAAATTGTTTACCATTAAATAAAAAACCTGGTTATGTTTTCAGACAATTAGCGATGACATGTATCAATTCATGACACAAGTAAAGGAGACAGTAACGTGTGGGCTGGTGGGTGGTTCGGATCTCAAGAAAATAGCTGAGCAAATAGGTGGTATGGATGGTAAGTATAAATATCCATTCAGTCACTTGACCATTAACTCAAGGTCATAAATAAGGTATAGCTTTTTAATAATCTTTATAGTTAATAATTGCCAGGAAAGAGCAGGATAACTATCATATTAAGAATTCTGTGGATTCACAAAATATACTTCTAAACAAATGTCCATTTCTCACCAAAGCAGTGGCCCTGTAAGAATAATAATAATAATAATAATAATAATAATAAAAATTAATAGTATTAGTGGATGAATGGTTCAGAGAACTGACAAGTTGATAAATTAGACACATGTGCAACACTTGGGTATATTTAATGAGGAAACGTTTCGCCACACAGTGGCTTCATCAGTCCATACAAAGGAGAATGGTGAAGACCAGGAGGAGTTTAAGGTAATCAGTCCCTCAGCCTTAAGTTGATGTAATCAGTCCATCAATCTTGGAAAGAATACCTTTTCAAGATTGATAGACTGATTACATCAATCTTGAAAAGGTACTGATGGACTGATTACATCGACTCAAGGCTGTGGGACTGATTACCTCAAATTCCTCCTGTTCTTCACCATTCTCCTTTGTATGAGCTGATGAAGCCAGTGTGTGGCAAAATGTTTCCTCATTAAAGATACCCAAGTGTTGCACATGTGTCTAATTTATCAATAGTATTAGTATCAAAATTATTATAAATTCTTATAATTATTTTTTATTATTAAAACATTTATTACCAATATTAAAAACTATTATTGCAGCATTTATTACCAGATATTATATTAATTTATCTTATAATAATTTGGAAAGAGTTATAATTTGGTTGTGGTGCTGTGTGAAAAGTTTACAGCATGCATTGCACTTTCTGCTGAAATAAAAACTGAGTTGGTTTTCAAGAGATGAAGAATAGTAATGATTAAATTATAATAATAGCAACAATAAAGGTAGTCATTTACAGTAAAATATTTTGAGCTTCACTTAAGATTACAGCCACTGTATGGTTGACATTACAGAACAAACGTTGTTTAAGGAAGACTCTTCATCATCAGCGAATCAACTTAGAAGAATTTCGAAGTTGTAACTGAAGTAGAAAATAATCAACAGCAGACCTCTTAACTTATGTTACTAATGATCTGGACAATTTGGAAGTGTTAAGTTCGTCTCATTTACTCCATGGCAGAAGGCTCGAACTAGTTCCTCCCATGAATGATAAAGAAATTATGGAGGATCCTACTTATCTCAAACCTGAGCAACTCAGACATAAATTCAAACACGTTAACCCATAAACGGTCCAAACGTATGTATACATTCTCTTGCCCAGTGCCCCGAATATTTTGAAAAAAAAAAAAAATTATGGAAATAAAGAACACATTTTTCTAAGTGTTATAGGATAAAAAAAAAAGTTTAGGGTCAGTATTTACCGAGATATGAGGCTGCAAAGTTAGCACTGGATGCTTACCTGATGGCAACATGCCGCTTCCAGAAGTGTTGCCGATTTACCTTTTTTTCTCATTTTTATATTTATATAATTTTTACGTTCTGATAATTACAATTTATAGTAGTTCTTGTCATTGCATAATCAATCTTTGTTCTGACACTAATATTAGGTACTGAAATTGTACTCAAATTGTCACAAACACACTGACAGGTGAACATTTACACCTGCCTTGGCCATTTACTATTGTCTAGGAATATATACAGCAATGTTTTGGATATGTGGGAGTATATAATAATAATAATACTGTAAGTTCTCTTGAAGCATGCTGTAAGACAAGTGTCAATCTACTGCTGACAGTGCAGTGATAAGATAAGGTAAGTGGTGACATTTGATGAGCATCCACACGAGGGGGCAGTAATAAGATAAGTGGTGACATCTGGTGAGCATCTGCCCTCGCTTTATTTGTTTTCACTATTACACATAAACATGCATGTCTGTCTAGCTCTCTGTCTAGCCCTCTGTCTAGCTCTCTGTTTATCTCTGTCTCTTCTTATCTGTCTCTGTCTGCTTGTCTCTCTGCTTGTCTCTCTCTCTGTCTCTGTCTCAGAGAGAGCCACTCATGAACCAACAGGTATTACACATGACATCGGTATTGGCCAGTCATCCTTACACATAATATCTACAAGCACAGTATAGCACTTTGTCTAGATTTTTGGGTTATCCTAGGTAATTTACACTATGTATAATTGTATTTATGTGTACCTGTGAGACAGAGATAGACATACAGACAGACAGATGGAGATAGAGCCAGCCTGACAGCCAGGCAGCCACCCAGCCTGCCGAATATGTATTACACATTCCAGAATTGTTTCTCTTTACTTAGGGCATAGGTTGTAAGATGTTCTGAAAGGGTGTTGCACTAACCTTGCACATGAGTTATTATGGAGGTTTTTGATATTTCCTTGACCATTTATAGCCACATCCACCTCTAAGCCACTAAACTCGGGGTAGCATCACTTTCCTCTTAAAATGGGAGTGTTAATACTACATGAAATCACTGAATCCCAGGTGTTTGCTGTGCTGTTTGCTCTAGCTGGCGCTCAATTGAACTGGTACTCCCACGAGGTACTAAGTTGTCCCAGATTTTTTAATACTGTGCACACTGAGTGTTAAGACCCATTCTATGCTGACCAGGCATCTCAGGCCAATCATGCCAAATTTGGAGGCAGGAAAAATAAAACGTTGATTTACGTTTGGGGAGCTAGCAGTAAGAATGTACATATACGTTTGGACTGTTTACAGGTTAATACAGTGATTAAATGTTGGGTGAAAATTTGGCAAGAAGGCTATCTCACCTCACTAAGAGAACACTTCTATGGAGCTGGTGTTCCTGAAAATCATATGTTCTTAAGACCTGGTGACATAGTGATTATTAACCCTTTCAGGGTTTCGGCCATACTAGTACGGCTTACGCACCAGGGTTTTTGACGTACCAGAACGCCTAAATTCTAGCGCCCTCAAATCTAGTGAGAGAAAGCTGGTAGGCCTACATATGAAAGAATGGGTCTATGTGGTCAGTGTGTGCAATATAAAAGAAATCCTGCAGCACACAGTGCGTTATGAGAAAAAAAAAACTTTGACCATGTTTTTGGATTAAAACAGCGACTTGGCACTGTATTTTCGTATGGTATTTATTGTCGTATTCTAGTTTTCCTGGTCTCATTTTATAGAATGAAAGACATATTACAGAAATTGAGATGATTTTGACTGGTTTTACAATGAAAAGTACCTTGAAATTGAGCTCAAAGTAGCAGAAATGTTCGATTTTTACCAAGGTTCAAAAGTAAACGAATCATGCTAAACGTCCAATACACGTCAACTGGTGAGTCTAATATTCTTTCACAAGTGAATGGGAATGTATGAAAGTATAGTAGTACCAACACTCTTATATGGATGTGAAGCTTGGGTGGTAAATGCAGCAGCGAGGAGACGGTTGGAGGCAGTGGAGATGTCCTGTCTAAGGGCAATGTGTGGTGTAAATATTATGCAGAAAATTTGGAGTGTGGAAATTAGGAGAAGGTGTGAAGTTAATAAAAGCATTAGTCAGAGGGCAGAAGAGGGGTTGTTGAGGTGGTTTGGTCATTTAGAGAGAATGGATCAAAGTAGAATGACATGGAAAGCATATAAATCTATAGGGGAAGGAAAGAGGGGTAGGGGTCGTCCTTGAAAGGGTTGGAAAGAGGGGGTAAAGGAGGTTTTGTGGGCAAGGGGCTTGGACTTCCAGCAAGCGTGCATGAGCGTGTTAGATAGGAGTGAATGGAGACGAATGATACTTGGGACCTGACGATCTGTTGGAGTGTGAGCAGGGTAATATTTAGTGAAGGGATTCAGGGAAACCGGTTATTTTCATATAGTCGGACTTGAGTCCTGGAAATGGGAAGTACAATGCCTGCACTTTAAAGGAGGGGTTTGGGATATTGGCAGTTTGGAGGGATATGTTGTGTATCTTTATACGTATATGCTTCTAAACTGTTGTATTCTGAGCGCCTCTGGAAAAGCAGTGATAATGTGTGAGAGTGGTTTAAGTGTTGAATGATGATGAAAGTATTTTCTTTTTGGGGATTTTCTTTCTTTTTTGGGTCACCCTGCCTCGGTGGGAGACGGCCGACTTGTTAAAAAAAAAAAAAAAAAGTGCGCTGATATTATTTATACCATTTCTACACTAATGCAGTACTCTGCATAACAGTAGATCTTCTATTTTTTGTGAGAATAAAAATTCAAAGTGGAAAGCAAAAGAATGTAAGAAGGGCGTGGGACATGACTAGTGAACAGAGGAAATGTTATTTTAGTGCCAGGAATGTCTTTCTTGTTTATTCTGGGCCCTATTTGGAAATTGGCATCTTTTGAAATTTGTGTGATATTGGCAAAATTGCTAAATTCTGATAGTTGGATAGTTGAAATTGGTAAATGGGTGGTTTCTTGTACTCATTCGATAGAAAAAATGGAGTTCTAGCAAAACAGTTATGATTTTTGTCGACTAGTACACTGGAATTGGCTGAAAATAGGGCTCAAAGTGGGCAAAATCGCCAATGCGTAAACATCGTCGAAACCACTAACTTTGCGAGAGCATAATTCCATAAGTTTTCCATCAAATTTCATACTTTTGGTGTCGTTATGATTGGGAAAAGATTCTCTATCTTTTCATAAAAAAAAATAATTTTTTTTTTTTTTAAATTTGGGCGACCCTGAGAACAAGTCTCGGAGAGGGCCTGGCGACCCTGAAAGGGTTAACCCTTTGATTGTTTTGGTCATATATATATATGTCTTACGAGGTACCGTGTTATATACTCATAAATTCTAGTGGCTTCAAATCAAGCAGGAGAAAGCTGGTAGGCCCACATGTGAGAGAATGGGTCTGTGTAGTCAGTGTGCACCATATAAAGAAAATCCTGGAGCACGCAGTGCACAGTGAGAAAAAAAAACTCCGACCGTTCTTTTTAATTAAAATTCCGACTTTGTGGTCTATTTTTGTATAGTATTTATGGTTGTATTCTCATTTTCTTGATCTCATTTGATAGAATGGA